TCCCCGTAAACAGCGGCTGCGACTTGCCCGCAGAATAAGATCCCTCAACTAACACATGGCATGCCGGGAAACAAACCTCTGCTTGTATATTTATCGTCTTCCAACAAACACCGCCCTCCTTTCCGCCATCACACTTCCGGGCAGCGTCGGCGGTGCTTGGGAAGAGGTGCCATCTTGGAGGCTGGCAGTGGCGGCGACGACGATAACTTCTCGAGCGTTGCCCCGTTGTCCAGAGAGAAGCGCGGTGGGACGGGAGCGGAAGACCGGCTGCGGATTGAGGCGCCCTTCCAGGGCTCGGTAAACTCTCTGCGCGCGGGAGGCAAAGTCCTGGGTCTCTTCCCTCCCCGCCCCCGTCATGGTTAACCGAACAGCGGCCTCCTTGTATTTGCTTCCTCTCGGCTGCTTCCCGTGGGCCCGCGGCCTAGTAGCTGTCTAACGACATTTATTTCTGGATTCTGAGGCCTGTGACCTGTCTCAGTCGCCTTTCCGTCTTCTTCGCGGCCCCTCTGTTTGCTTTTCGTTTTTGTTAAGTGCCCCATCCGTGATTTATATACGAGCTGGTTCTCGGGTCTTCTCATCCGTTTTTATCTGCCCACCTTGCGCCCCCCCTCCTGCCCCCCCCACCTGTTCGGATAACTCTTGTATTAGGATGGCTACTTTCTCGGATCTCTCGCTGCGCCCTGGGGGCTCTTCCTGCTCTTCATGAAATGCTCTTTCTTTTCTCCTACTCATCAGAACCTTTAAGCATCTAGGAAAGCGTAGGGTGAACTGGCCTAACTCCAATCTGAATTTCTGGGCCCCCTCAGCACTTGCCGGTCTGAGCAGTAAATAGCCTGGACTTGCCATTTCTAGCAGTATCGGCATGATGGGTTACTTCAGTAGCTGACTTGAATTCTTGTAGGAACTGATCCAGAAAACAACCTTATATGTTCTGTGTTAGTATTTGTACACTTTTAAAAAGTATATAGCCATATTTTATAGACAAAAATATAGCTTTCTACTGTTGTGGCATTCAGATTGTGGCGTTGGAGGTTCATTTCCAAAACAAGTGGGTGTCACTATGGTATGCTGTATTAAAATTCAGTTTTTAAAAAGCAGGCCCTTCTTAAAATCTGCATTCAGTCAAGCATCTGAAGAAAGTGAAAGTTTATATTTCTTGAGGTTTAGAGTGAATTATAGTGCCATCTGTGTAGGTCTGCTAGAATTCTTATTGGGATTTACTCCTAGGAAAGTGTTCTTACTGTGGCCATGTAAGTTATAGTCACCATTATAATAGCATTTCTGAATTTGTACATTCATTTTGGATCTATATAGAGAATGAACATGGCAGTTTGCCTAGTCTCCCTCACAGGAGGTGCTGCACTGTTAGTGGAAAAGTTTTCAGCTTCTTCTCAGTTTACAGATGACATTGAGGGACTGAGTAGTATGTTAAAACTGAGAAGGAAGGGTTAAGGATTAAGAGTAACACCACTCTTTATGTGGCACTCATCTTTGTCATGGGTATGCTGGTCTATCCCAGAAGGAAAGTGTGAAAGACGCACATTAAACACCAGTGTGCATGAGTCTAAGAGCCCTGATTGGGTTGCAGCTCTCTGATGCACAGGAGCTTTAAGATATGGCCTCATGTTTACACTCTACATGTTTGCTGCAGGAAATGCTGGTGTAATGACAGTGTTTCCATGGAAAACACGATTGCCACAAAATGTGGAGCAGTTCAAAGGGAAAACTATGGCAAAATGCTAAGGATGTTTACAAGGTTTGTTAAAGACTAAAACCTACAGATACAGCTGCTTCTGTAGGTTTTATGGGCTGTTTCTAAACAAGAGAGAAAAGCTTGTTTATAGAAAGCAGAGCAAGTTGCCTTGTCTGAAGTTGGAATAAGGGCTTAATTTTCTAGAATTCTTCCATGATGACATGCAGTATGCCCGATGAACCATAGTCAGGCACTATCTTTTGAACATCAGTAGTTCAGCATCTCCAAGCAAAACACGCTGTTCATTGGGCTGTGGCAAAAGGCAAAATAAGTAGTCATGGAGACTGTGCCTTCATTATATATGTTTCTCTCTGCACTACATGCAGTAGGACTCAGTATTCCTCTTTCAGATGTGTAGTTGTGTTAGCCTTTTGCAATGGGGGGGGGGAAACAAACAAAAAAACCCCATACAGTATAAACTTTTGCGGGCAGAGCCTGTTTTATCAGATGTGCCTACAGACAATAAGGAGATGTGTAGTTGTGTTAGCCTTTTGCAATTGGGGGGGAACAAACAAAAAAAACCCATACAGTATATATTGCCTACAGACAATAAGAATATGGAAGAGAGTCATACTGTTCCAGAAGTTTGATTCTTAGTGTGCACTATGCAAGAAAATCAGAATTTTCCAAGAATTTTGTTTCCATTGCTGTAGTGGTTGCCATAATAGTAGTTTGTTACTTGTCTTGAGAAATCAGAGCTGATGAGAACATCTAGGTGCTAGGAATTAGGGGAAAGACATCTCCTGTATTTAACCTTTCCTAAAATGCCTGTTGGGCTGCATATAACATCTCTAAAAAGAAATAGCATCAGTTTAAGGGAAGTCTAGGCCTCAGTTTGGCATCTCTATATTATGACAGTATATGCAATTCACACTTCTTTTTCACTGGGCTGCAGCCAGCATTCAAATATTGCCAGTGAATATAATGAAACAGCAGTGAATTTGATGTTCATACAAATGAATTTCCATTTAGGTCTTCACATCTCAAAACTCGAGCATCTTGACCACAGCTGTCCCTCTCTTAGCTCTGTATGCTAAGGGGCTGTATGCTCTATTGCTTTGACTTACCAGAATTTTCTAGCAACCCATCTTTTCATATTAGGTTGCAACTGAGAAAAAGAGCGGTAGTGGAACTTATGGTTGAAGACATGCAACTTTGTTTTTGTTCTTACCTCTGCTTCTCAAAGAATTATACAAGTTGTGGTATCAGCTGTGGTTTCAAACTTTTCTGCAGTGAGTTTACTGTTTTTTACGACACTGTAAAAGGTTGTTCAGCAACTGATGTATTTACATGGATTTGCTTTGGCATGTGCCTTTTTCAGTTCTTTCTCCCCATACCTGGTTTCTGAGGGTAATATTGAAGAGGTTTGTGCATTGAGTGGTGGTACCCTTATCCATGTGCCATGCTTACTTCACTACTCAGTTGTAAAAAGACAAAAAAAACAAACTGATTTTGTATGCATGCAGAAATAATATCTAAAATAGAAGGTAGTATAGGAAAGGAGAGCGGTGAAGACCACCCTTTTCTCTCAGTTTATTGGACTCCAGTGGCCTGCATATATTCCACTTAAGAAGACTGCAGGTTTGAGGAGTGATATAGCTGGTCTGTCGCTTGCTCCTAACCGTGCAGAAAGACTTTTGAGTTAAAAATGCCCTTGTATTAGAACTGCTTTGTTGTTGTTCAGTCGCACAGTCGAGTCCGACTCTTCGCGACCCCATGGACCAGATCCCACCAGGCCATCTTGTCTTCCGCCATCCTCTGAAGTTTGCTCAATTTCATGTTTGTTGCATCTATGACACTGTCTATTTAAGAAGCTTTTATTCCTCATAGTATTACCATGGGAAGACATAAATGTATTTTTGATGAGGCGGAGTGTGGGTATCTGTGAAAATTATTGCTTTTGAATCCTTTACCCTGAAACAAAAGTCTTAAGTGCCTTGGTTTAGAGAGCTTTTCAGTGGTGTTGGTGTAACTGACAATGGGCTGTCAAATCTACCCTGAATGAAAATAAGGAGGCTATTGCAGGCCCTGCTACATACTTAGAAGGGAAATCTGAGAGGGAGGAGGCCTTTGTTGGCAAATTGCCATTAATAACCTCAGTCAGTTTCCTTGTAGCTTGCGCTGTAAGTGCCAACAGAACAAGGCTCAGTCTGTGAACACAGGCCTGTTCATGTTCTGATAGTATTGCACAGCTGATGCTGCTTCAGATGGATTTCAGATGTCTTAATTATTATTTTTATCTTATTTTTTCATTTAGGCCTTGGGGTTTGTCATATGTGAGATTATTCACGGCTGTGACATAGAGGGATAGTAAACAGAACTGTGGCTGTTGTTTCTGTTCTGTTCTTTAGCACAGTTTACTTTGCAGAAAAAAGTGTGCTCTCCTGTTTTCTCATCAATAGCTCCAACTGCTTTATGGCCTTTAAAGCATCTCATGGACATGTTCATAGCATCCCCAGTGTGACAGTGTTCATAGGCTGCTGCTTGATAGTCAAAGAAGGATGATGTGAGCACAAGGATTAGAATTTGAACGTTTCTCCTCCTGTGTTTAGATCATTAAGGTCACATTGTACTGCTGAGAATAAGGTCTTTTTCTGACACATGCTCAAGAGCTAGTCAATAATCATTTAGCTCTTAGAAGCATTTGTATGATCAGAACATAAAATTGCCCAGTCTTGAGGATCAGATTGGCCTTCAAATAGCATGCCAGCTATCAAAGTACAGTAGCATGACTTCATTATTTTTCTAAATGGGATGCACAAATTATAAAACAATATTTTTAGTTGTTAAACAATATTAATTCATATTTCCCCCCAAAAAGTATATTAGTTGATACTGAGAGAATATACAGGAGTAACAGTGAATTTTGACTAAATATGAATTTGACATTGTCTTTTTCCTTAATGTAAACTATGTTGAAGTGCACTAGTATTATTTAGTGCAAGTAAATCAAACCTAAGTGCAAAAAAGAACATTAACCATGAGTTTTTGGCGGGTGGTTTAATTTAAAAAATATGTAAATACTCTTTATGGAAAAATGCAATATAGATGACTAATAAATATATTAAAAAGACACACCAAAAACAACAACTTCTCTCTCTATTTTAGATTTGGGGAAATTCCCTGCCAAAAATATCCAGGAAATACACTAGTATTTGTGTGAGTAAAAGGTTCTAACCTTTTATTATTCAGTTCTAAGAAATAATTTATATAGTCTAAATTATATCAAAGTACAAGCCATGTTCTTTCAGTGAACAAGGTTTTATTTTGTGTTCTGTGGCTGTAAAGTTGTTGGTTGCCAAGATGTGGATCTACAGCATCTTGTCAATCTTTATCAATATAAGCAGCCTCAGATGGTACACATATATAAGCTTTTTGCAGTGATAAAGTAAAATGATATTGAAGATAAGAATTCAGACATCTTAAAAGCAAAATTAAACTACCTTTCCTAAATCACATGTAGACATGACCAGACTGGTTTTGAAAGTACTATACCATGCAGTTATGTTCTGCATATAGTTGCATTGCAAGTGATTGTATATGTACACATTGTGTTTGTACATATATACAACATGCATGTTACCTGTGTTCTAAAGAAAAAGGTACCTGATTTGAAAACTACTGAATAGAAAAAGTATTTGTATGCAAAAGAAATTACACTATTTCCTCAAATTTAACTTTCAGCTTTAAATTGAGAGCAGCCCAAACATCATTTTTAATTGCTCATGCTTGTGTATACATTGTGGCATGTATAGACATAAGTATGTCGGTATACTCATGTGTATATACATAAGTTTATACATACAAGTATGTTTTATTATACAGTTAATAAAGATCGGGGAAGATTTTTCCTTTTTTCCAATAGGTGAAGAGATCTTGAAGACCAGAAATTGAAAATTATGTATTAATAAAAAAAAAAAGCTAAATTGTCCGGCTGTGGAAGATGGATCTTCTTCTTCGCAGCCACTTTGAAACACAAGTTCATCTTTAAATGAACTGTTTATTTTGAAGAGGCAATTAACCATCACTGTCTCCAGTCTTCCTGATTGTTCAAATGGACTTGCTTCCTCCAGTAGTTGTTCACCCCCTGTCTGAATTTTGAATGAGGATGAGATGTGTTGCCTTGGCAATGTAAGGAAGAAAAATCTTTCTGTTCCATTGTTATCAATTCATGGATTGAGTGTTGATTCGACCTACAGGAGAAAAATAACTGGAAGTCTTTGAAGACAGAGTTGATCACTGAACTTATCCAGGTACGTCAATTCAGAGTGCGGTTTTAATTTCTGAAGCTTGGGGGAATGGTCTGTGCAATTTCACCTGTGTTTTAAAAAGATATCAGAACAGTAAATACTAGTCCTAAGGTATAAGTTGTGGGCAAATTAAGTAGCTAGATTTTAGCTGATACATGGTTATTTTCATAGATGGTAAAGCTCAGTGGTGAATTATGGCCTGAAACATTTTGTTGTGACACCAGCTCAGTTTAGTACTCAGTTCTAAGTTTAGCAAAACAGAAAGAATAGAGACTCTAAAGCTAAATGCTAAGATAGCTTCAGGACTCTTTTGGTGTGTGTATGTATTTAACCATCAGTGGAATGGGACTGTAAGTTTTTGCCCTTGTACATCAAATTATGAGAGCATCCTTTAAACTCCAGTGGAACCAATGAAGTGCCCTACACAGAAAGTGGTATAGAAGTAAGTTTTTTTAAAAAATAGTTACAGAAATTGCCCTCACCTGCAGAGCCCAGGCTAGCCTGATTGTGTTAGATCTTGGAAGCTAAGAAGGGTTGGTCCTGACTAGGGATGGGCACGAACCAGAAAAATCTGGTTCGATGCGGGGTGGTTCCAAACTAAACCCTGAACCAAGCCCTAAATCACTCAACCCTGCTGATTTGGATGCCCTTTTCTCCAGGCTGTGGCAAGCTGCGACTGGGATCGCCCAGGAAGGGTTAAATGGCTGGCAGCCATTTAAACTTAGCGGGGTGGATGTGCCCATCCGCTGTTAGGCTGACATGGCTGCAAGCCAATTCAGCAATCTGTTTCGCTACCCCTGCTTGGAGGGGACACCTACCCTGCTGTTAGGTTTAAATGGCTGCAAGCCAACTCAGTGATCTGTTTCGCTACCCCTGCTTGGTGGACAGTGGACAGGCTCACCCGTCCCTCTGGTAAATTTAAATGGCCCAAACACCTGAACCAGGCAGGAGCTTGGTAAATGTTCAGGGAAGACACCTTCCCTAAACATTGGTTCAGGGCCCCTGAACTGGGTCAAATTTGTGATGAATTTTGGCTCGTGAACCAGTTCATGCCCATCCCTAGTCCTGATTTGTATTTGATGTATTCGAAGCAGTACCAGGGATGTGACATGGAGGCAGGCAATGGTAAACCACCTCTGAATGTCTCTTGCCTTGAACCCCATGTGTCGCCATAAATCAGCTGTGACATGATGGTTATTTTCTACCACTATTTATAGAGCTTATCATGTAGGAAGTTCCTTCCTAGTGAACAGCATCTTGTTTAATGCAAAATTGCAATCGAACTTGTATGCTTGCCCATCCATGATTTATTTATTTAATTTGATTTATACCCTGCCCTCCCTACCAAGGCGGGCTCAGGACGGCTTACACAAATGCATAAAAATACATTTAAAATCCATCATAAAATTCATCATACCAAAAACAGGTTGGTTATCCTTGCAGATTGTATACATACCATATACTGCATCAGCATTACATTAGCTCATGATAATATGAACTCCATGAAGTAAAATGAGGCTGCAGCTTGTCATGTCATTATAGACTGGTGCAGCCAACACCTTTGAAGAAATGAATCTTCAGCTTCTGCACCACTGTAGAAAGAACTCAAATGTGAACTTGTGGATCTCCTGACAAAAATATGTAATCTTTCCTTAAAATCAGCCTCCCTTCCTGAGGACTGGAAGGTAGCAAATGTCACTCCCATCTTTAAAAAGGGTTCCAGAGGAGATCCGGGAAATTACAGGCCAGTCAGTCTGACGTCGATACCGGGTAAATTGGTGGAAACCATTATTAAGGAAAGAATTAGTAGGCACATAGATGAACAAAACCTATTGAGGCAGACTCAGCATGGGTTCTGTAAGGGAAGATCTTGTCTCACTAACCTGTTAATGTTCTTTGAGGGGGTGAACAAACATGTGGACAAGGGGGATCCAATAGATATTGTTTACCTTGACTTCCAGAAAGCTTTTGATAAAGTTCCTCATCAAAGGCTCCTAAGTAAGCTCAAAAATCATGGGATAAAAGGACAAGTCCTTTTATGGATCAAAAACTGGCTAATTCATAGAAAACAGAGAGTGGGTATAAATGGGCAATTTTCTCAGTGGAGGGAGGTAAGCAGTGGGGTACCGCAGGGATCAGTACTTGGTCCACTGCTTTTTAACTTGTTCATTAATGATTTGGAGATGGGAGTAAGCAGTGAAGTGGCTAAATTTGCGGATGATACGAAGTTGTTCAGGGTGGTGAAAACCAGTGAGGATTGTGAGGCACTCCAAAGGGATCTGTCAAGGATGGGCGAGTGGGCGTCAACATGGCAAATGGGGTTCAATGTGGCCAAGTGCAAGGTGATGCACATTGGAGCCAAAAATCCTAACTATAAATACACGTTGATGGGGTCTGAACTGGCAGAGACTGATCAAGAGAGAGATCTTGGAGTTGTAGTGGATAACTCACTGAAAATGTCGAGACAGTGTGTGACTGCAATAAAGAAGGCCAATGCTATGCTGGGGATTATTAGGAAGGGTATTGAAAACAGATCAGCCAATATCATAATGCCCCTATATAAATCAGTGGTGAGACCTCATTTGGAATACTGTGTGCAGTTCTGGTCACCACACCTTAAAAAGGATATTATAGCTTTGGAAAAAGGGCAGAAAAGGGCAACTCGAATGATAAAAGGGTTGGAACATTTTCCCTATGAGGAAAGGTTAAGGCGCTTAGGGCTCTTTAGCTTGGAGAAACGACGACTGAGGGGGTGACATGATTGAGGTTTACAAGATTATGCATGGGAAAGAGCAGGTAGAGAAAGAGGTACTTTTCTCCCTTTCTCACAATACAAGAACTCATGAGCACTCCATGAAATTGCTGAGCGGTCGGGTTAGAACGGATAAAAGGAAGTACTTCTTCATCCAAAGAGTGATTAACACTTGGAATTCACTGCCACAGGAAGTGGTGGCGGCTGCAAGCATGGACGGCTTCAAAAGGGAATTAGATAGGCATATGGAGCAGAGGTCCATCCGTGGCTATTAGCCACAAGGTATAGATAGGGGCTCTGGGGCAAGTGATGCTCTGTCATCTTGTTGCTTTGGGGGGTCAACAGTGGGAGGGCTTCTAATGTCCTGGCCCCACTGGTGGACCTCCTGATGGCACTGGTATTTCTGGCCACTGTGTGATACAGAGTGTTGGACTGGATGGGCCTTTGGCCTGATCCAACATTGGCATCTCTTATGTTCTTATGTCAAGCTGCCACTGTGCCTGTTATCTTGACTTTCTTCATGTGTATCACTTCTCTCTCTGGTGTAATGATATGTAGTTCTCAGTCAGAGATTGATCCCCTTACAGAATGGTTACAAGAGCTTGTGCACTGGCATGAGGCAGAGAGCATACTGAAATGTTCTAGCTACTTTGTGAGCTGGCTTGCTGTATTTATAGACTGGTGCAGCCAACACCTTTGAAGAAATGAATCTTCAACTTCTGCACCACTGTAGAAGTATTTTATTGCCATGTCAGTCTGTCATCCTGGTTGAGACATTTTGCCAAAACAGCAGTGATCATGCTGTGTCTCAAAATGTAGCAAACGTTAAGAACAGTCTATTACATTTTAGCAATTGTTGAAAATTGCAGCTGTTGAGAATTCCATTAGTTTGACCAGTGGCTGAAGTGTCTCCACTAGCATGTTTAAATAGTGGTCTGATAAATTGTCTATGAATAAGAAGTACTTACCTTTAGTTTTTTGCTCTTTCTTGCAAAACATCCTGATTTAAATTTGTGTCACTTGTTGAGAGTATAGTTGTGTCTGTTGATGTTGCTTACAATGGGACCTTGTCTTACCCAGCTTCAAGACTGAGATTTTACTTTTGTTGAAAGAAGCAAACCAGCCTAAATAAATGAACCTTCATTTTGCTGTGGATTAAGTTTATTACAAGATTAGGGCCTGACAAATTACAAATTCATTACTTCTTTAATGCTGTGGATCAATCCAACCCTTTATTAAAATGGGATATTTACTTTTTACTTCCCACCTACTTATTAAACTTTAAAGTTTATTCAATGGCTTTAAAGCCAAAAAGAGTAGTGAAAATTCTGATCCTAATGTAAAGAATGCATTTCTTTTTTTAAAATTCCATCTCTTTGCTGTTTCCAAGGTTGCATATTGAAGAACATAGCAGAAAATCTACAGAAGATTTGGTCTGGTTTAAACCAAGTTGTGGCCAGCCGCCACTTGGAAACCTGTGTTCAGCTGTCACGCTCCAGCATAGTTTACAGTAAAGATACAGCCAGCATGACTAACCAAGGAGATGATTGTTATTTTTATTTTTACTCCACATGTGCCAAGGTTTGTGTTTTTTCCAGCCTTCTCTAATCATGTTTGCTTTAGTATACTTTCCCTCCAAGTATAATTTAATTTGATAAATTCAACAAATTATAGCTAAACCAAAGAACAGTTTTTAATATCTTCATGGAGAAGAATTTATGTTTTTTACAAACACACACAATCTCCAAAGTTGCTTCTGTGCATAGGAAATTCATTCAATGAAACTCTGGTTATATTAGCCACATGTATAACGGAGTTTTATTTCCATTTATGTGTTTTGTTTACATGCTTACATGGTGTCAGAACAAAGCTTACATAGTGATGATAATAAGCACCTCTTGAAACTGTAATGTCACTGTTTCAGATATACCTTTCTCTTTGAGCCAGTTTGGTGTAGTGGTTAAGTGTGCGGACTCTAATCTGGGAGAACTGGGTTTGATTCCCCACTCCTCCACTTGCAGCTGCTGGATGACCTTGGGCAAGCCATAGTTCTGTCAGAGTTGTTCTCTCAAGAGCAGTCCTTGAAAGAGCTCTTTCAGCCCCACCTACCTCATAGGGTGTCTGTTGTGGGGGGGGGAGGGAAAGGAGTTTGTAAGCCACTCTGAGACTCCGAGTGAAGGACGGGGTATAAATCCAATCTCCTCTCTTCTCTTTTATCCTCCCCCGCCACCTATGTATTTCAGAATTGTGTTGGTAAAAGCCAATTTTTGGATTTGGTGGCATTTTAGCATAGGCAGGAGATTGAACTCAGGGCATGGCTTTACAAATGAAGGATTGGAGCTTAGGGATGAACATGAACTGGGAAAATGGAAGTTTGTCCCGGTTCGTGGATCTTGGGGTCTCACAAACCTTCCTGTTTAATGAACCTGTTTGTGAGGTTTGTGGCATGGTAGAATGGCCCCCCCTGTGGGCTAGAGATGCCAAACTCACTGTGAACTCCCAGCTGACTCTCCTCTACCTGCCCTCCAAGTTTGGTGAGGATTTGCTGTGGGGGGGCTGAATAGCAGACCCCCAAATCAAGTGCCCCCAGGAAAGTACTCTCTGGGGAAGTCACAGCTACAGGTTCAGAAGGAGTGTGTCGACTTCATCTAACTTGCAGACCTCCCTGGGATGGTGGGTCAGAGCCCACCAGACACCACCCCAGCTGGGGACAGGTGTGCAAAAATGCCACTGAGGGGGTCTATGTGGGTCTTCAGCTGAGGAACCCACTAGCTGAGCCCCTCTGTTTGACTTTAGCAGAGGTTCAGGTGCCTCAGAGCCCTGAGTAAGCAGCAACACTGTTCACAGTACTGAGGAATGACTTCCAGTTCCTTCCCACTCTGCCTCTAACAGTTAGCTTCCTCTCTGCCTATCTGCCTGCTGCCAGGTAAAAACAGCTGTGTGTGAGCTGGGGAGATATATCCATTCTGCTCCCATAGAGCAGAATGGGAGCTCTGTTGTTGGCAGCCAGAGCTGCCTATCAAGCTTTAGAGGGCCACTATTGGTGTTTCAAGGGCTGCAGAAGTCCACTCCACCATCAGTTGCTTTGACCATTAATTGGTGCCAGTGTGTCTGGCTTACGAACTGGCACCACGAACCTCTGTGAAAAACAAGGCAGTTTGTGGGAGATGCCATCTCATGAATCATAAATGGGGTGATATTCGTGACGAAATTAGGGTTGTGACGAGGTTCATGCCCATCCCTAGTGGAGCTATGAATGCAGGGCATGCTGGGTTCCCAGTGGCTCCCAGTGCGTTCTATCTGTAGAACAAAGTCAGTGGTCTGCAATTTAGATCTTAGTGGGGAGGAATAAATTATGCCTCTCACACCAGACATTGATTCATCAAAGGTAAAACATACGTCTAGTCCTAGTACCACTGGTCACATTGAACACCCCTTTACTTTTCCATATAACTACATTAACAGCTGTTATTTGATTCTGTGGTGAAATGTAAACATACTGCCGTTTATCATAGTTTAGAGGTGGAAACAAAGTACGCCCACAACTTCTGACTCTGAGTAGTTCCGGGCCAATCCCTGTCTTTCGTTGTGCAATGTACAGGCCCTTCGTCCCAGCAAATCTTGTTTACAATGATGACTGACATTTTGCTAGTAGTTAGAATTGTGTGGTTTTTTTAAACCACCCTTTGTACCTGGCTGGTAGGGTGACTGTTCTTGGGGTTTTTTTTGTTCTGTAGTTTTCAGATTGATGATGTTGGGGTTTTGTGTTTGTGTTTTCTTTCATTCTCCATAGGGAGATAGTTGCCCATTTCGTCACTGTGAAGCTGCCCTGGGGAATGAAACTATCTGCACTCTCTGGCAGGAAGGACGATGCTTCAGGAGTGTATGCCGGTTTAGACACATGGAGATTGACGTGAGTATTTGTCTCAAACCGTTGTCAAAACATAGTTAATTTGACATGGATTGTTGTAAAAGAGAGCTGGCATTGTTGAGACTGGCTTTTTTGTGGTATTCTTAGCATGGAGCCTTTTGTTGAACTCAGATGGGTATGATTTAAAGCAGAAGTTAAAATATGGAGAGCGTTTACTGTGTAAGGTTATTTTGATAATTCCAGCCTAGTTTTGAATCCATTCAAAGTAAAATCCTAGGTTATTTGTTTTGCTGGAATACATGGTAGCTTGTTGAATTTGGAAGGAATGATAACATAGAGTAAGGAAGGAAAATAATGATTGGGCCTTGGCCATCAGCAGATGTTCTTAGAGAAGCGCACCTTGGATTTTGGACATAGTGAAGTAATTTTTGCATAGGCGGTTGTATGTCCCCAAAACAATGAGTGTAATTTTTGAAAATGGGAAATGAGATTTTGTGTTATTTTTTTATCCTAATGAAATACTTGAGCTTTAAAGGGTATGTAGTTTTAGGGGTGAACTAGATATGATGGTGTTCCTGAGTCTGACCCATATTCAACACCATTTTAAAGCATAATGAGGTGATTTTAAAATGCCATGAGTGCCCTATCCTGATCAGGCCTACAGCATAGCAGGATGAGGCATTCTTGTCCTGTCCGTGCCTTTTTATGTGCTGAACTGCAGCCCCCTTGTGCTGTTTCTGCACTAGAAAAAACACATGGGGGGAACTAAGAGCACCTCATCTCACTGCACTGCAGGCCCATACAGGACTGGGCCTTCACAGCATTTTTAAATTGCCTCATTAGGCTTTAAATTGGTGCTGACATCCATGGTTGGACCCATGGATACGTCTTATCTGGTTCAGCTCTTATTGTCTCAGCATGTTGTGGCCTGATGTGGGCTTGTAGGTTTTTCTCAAAATATACTTAATGTCTTTGTTCTGTTTACAGAAAAAGCGTAGTGAGATTCCCTGCTATTGGGAGAATCAACCAGTGGGCTGTCAGAAGTTGAACTGTGCATTCCACCACAACAAGGGACGCTTTGTTGATGGGCTTTTTCTACCTCCGAGTAAAAGTGAGTTGCATTTTCTTTCTTGGACATTTCTTCTCCTGTTGGGTACTTACAATGTGTTCATACAGTTGCCGTACATGCATGCTTTTTAAAAATGCTGTAAGGAAGCCATACCTGAGTTACCATCTCTCCCTTCCTCCAACAATGCATCCAGAAGATTAAAGGGAATAGAGGCTACACGGGAATAATTTCCATTTTGTTATTTATAAATCTCTTGAAACGTCTAGGTGCTGTACAAAGATTTTTTTACAAAGATGTGAAGTCCTTCTTTCACACCAGTCGTGTGAAGCGGTTACCCAATGTGCTTCAGATAACTTTAACCACAGCAATGCAACCCTTCTTGTTAGGGGCTTCTGGTGGTACTATTAAAATTGCCTAAGTCATTGGGGAAACTGCTTCTAAAAATTTGCTTCACCAGATGAAGCTGCTAGCCGGCAGCTGCATATCAAGCAACTGTCTGGGATATGTTATCAGAAATTGAGGACGCACAACAAGGTAGTGGCTTTCACCATAATTCCCTGATAATTACGCTCCCAAAGCCCTGACAATTTTGCTAGATAAACCTTTTGTTTGATCCAGTTGGCGGTGCTTATTTTTTGTGGATTAACTTTAGATTATAATCAAAACAGCCTAAGGAATAGGCTGCCTTGTCTTAGTTGGCCAATTGGAATAGAAATGGAGGTCTTAATAATAGTATCTAGCAAGGTTGTTAATACTGGCTGGAATCCATTACTGATTGTGATTCTGATATAATCAGGTTTCACAGGCATAGCGGCCTAAATACTTCTAATTTATGGGGTCTTTCGTCTTCCTTTTAGATGTTCTTCCAAATGTGACTGAATCTGTAGAGGAGGATATAAAGATGGCACAAATTTCGCTGCAGCAGAATAAGCTTTCTGTCCAGTCCAATCCATCCCCCCAGCTGCGTGGGGTAATGAAGGTGGAAAACTCTGAAAATGTCCCCAGCCCTACTCATCCACCTGTTGTAATTAATGCTGCGGATGATGATGAAGATGATGATGGTGAGCAGAATATTTTTCCCTAAAGCATGAATGTTGCCTATTTCAATACATACCAAACTAAAACATTCCTTAATTCTGTTTGTATCCAGCATTTCAAACTACTGGTCTCCAAAGGAAATTAGCAACATAGATATAATGCAAATTTAATTTAAAAACCTAAACAATAAACAAACCCAGGGTTGCCACTTTCTGGAAAGTCAGGGAAATTGGTCTGAAGTCAGGGAGAGTCAGGGAAATTGTGATTAAAATATATTCAAGCAGTGGATTTTTGACCTGCTGCTGCAAGAGCTTGATCTCTTCTTGTGGCAACTGAAATAGAAAAGTAGCAGAATACAAGTAAAACTTTATGATGCCCTTTCCCAGCTCCAACTTTTTCTCAGCTCCACCCCCAGCAACCAGACTAATATGTTTGTTAAGCTCTGTCCCTGCACGATTTCCAAGATCTGCCTGTAGCATTTGCAAAGCCAGGCTAGTTTAAACGTTTAGTGATATACAAACTTTAAACATCTAACTGTTTTCATCCCTACCTGCTAGTATTGCATTTAACTTACATATAAAGATAAGCATGTTTTTGGGTCATGCTTTGTGTATGGAATTGATGTTTTGTCTCCTGCTAAACCCAGCACAGAGTTGCAAATGAGTTTTGCTGCTGTTGGATTTCACAGACAACTAGCACTTTCTACTCTGCACCATGCAAAGTAAATTTTGCACATGTGATTGCTTGTTCCTGCTGGAGTTTACAGAGTACCAGCTCTCTCACCCTCTTTCCTGAGTTCTCCGATGCATAAAGGTTGCAAATGAGGCTTGTCTGCTTCTCTAGATTGCAGAAACTCCACCTCCTTTCTTGCGGCTGATCTGCTTATTACACTTTCTGGAACCAGAAAGTGCAAGTGAAACTTTCCCAGCTTTGGAAAGTTCCTACTTGCCAGAAAACAAATCTGCTAACATCTTGGTGTCAGGCAGGTGATTCTGTGTACGGCTGTATCTGAAACCACTTTTTGAAGATGGCTTCTAAGAGGACAGTTTTTAATATGCAGTGGCTGGATTTCAAACTTCATCCTGACTTCGTTCCATGGTTATCACCAGTTTCTGGAGACAAATGCAAGAGTTATTGTAAAGTGTGCTACAAAACCTTTGAACTAAGTAATATGGGAATTACAGCTCTGGAGTCTCATGCACAAGGACCATTACAGCCCCTGCGAAAAATGGAAAACATGATCAGAGTGATGAAAATGGCAAAGAATTACCCACCACACAAACTAGTATGGCTGCCTATGTAATCAAGGACTGTGTTAGGACAGCAGAGTGCCTGTGGGCTTTGCAACTGGTGATGAAGAAGATGTCATTTAACTCTTGTAACAACATCAGTGAGTTATTCAAGCGAATGTTCTCGGATAGCCAAAAGCAATGTATGTTGTTGCTTTTGGCTTGGCACCATATTTCTCTGATCTTTTACTGAAACAGCTGAAACAATGCAAAAGGGACAGATGGAGTTAGTGGTTTGTTTTTGGGATGATTACTGTCATAAAGTTTCTACACCGTATCTAACCAGTGTTTTTCTTCATACTGCTACTGCTGAAGACCTTCTTCAGAAGTTTCAAGAAGGCATATCTTCTTTATCACTTGCAAAATTATTAAAAGTATCTATGGATGGGCCAAATGTAATCACCTTTTTCTGAGAATCATTAATGATTTGGAGTTGGGAGTAAGCAGTGAAGTGGCTAAATTTGCGGATGATACACAGTGAGGATTGTGAGGCACTCCAAAGGGATCTGTCAAGGATGGGCAAGTGGGCGTCAACATGGCAAATGGGGTTCAGTGTG